GGAGGAACCATATGGCGTCATTCTGGCGTCAGCAAAGGCCGAAATCCGCCATGTTTTTGCGGACACTTTTTGATGCCGAGCACGTCCTCCAGTAATATAGTATAGCTCAGTGAAGTCGACAAACAAATCGTCGAAGTCGAATGCTATTAAAACATTTCTTCGTCCAGTATGATAATTTTTTTTAATATATACTGATACGTCATAATTATGCAAATAATTATGTCGAATCGAATGCAACGATAATGCAACGTATATGATTAAAGCCCAGCAAATGACTTTCAGACAATTAAGACATAACAAAAATATAAAATTTATTGGCTAACCTTTCGTTGTATTGTTTACAACATGTTCAGAGCAATTAATCTTATTTACAAGTGTGTATTATATATATACAGTGTGTATCAAAATAATTCGAATCCAAATTTGACAGACTGCTGTTTATAAAATACTAAAGTAAACCATATAATTTTTATATGGCAATAAAGAATAGCCTATTAGGTTTCCGATTATATCGTTCTTATATCAATAAGATAAAAAATGACCAAGAAATCGTGTGTTAAAACTGGTTGCTCGAAATCAAATTTTTCCGCCGATGGGAATTCGAAGTGAGACGTACAAACAAAAGATAATGCAAATTTAATTAATCAACAAACTGTTATGTAGCAAAATTCACATAAATTCGTATTCATTTAAAGAGATTTAAGCTCCTATGCCTTCAACATGTTGAACGAGAAGAAATTCGCGTTAAATTTGCATTTTAGTTTTCAGTGATGATTAGCATTTCAAAGCCTTGTGGGACTAACTTTGAAAGAAAAAATGTCCAATTCCCATCGGCGGAAAATTGTGATTTTTATGGACTTTTTTGTCAAAGCAATACTCCTTCATTTTCCAACTAAATAACGCGTACAGCATGTCATTTGAAAGATAAATAAATGAACTTAACAATGGTGTAAAAACCAACCGAATTTGTCAAATATATTCTGCGTTATTACACGCCAAATTTGGATTCGAATTATTTTGATACACACTGTATATACAAATAGTTTCAAACGGTTCCAATATTCAAATAAGCGAATAAGAGGAACGATGAAAACAACCAGTACCTGCCATTAAAAATATTAATAGTAAATTAAAGATATATAATGGTTAGTATTTAGAGTCGAGCAAAGATTGAGCTTGGATTTGAAAAACCGTTTGAAAATATTTGTATATATATAATACCACACTTGTAAATAAGTTTAATTGCTCTGAACATGTTGTAAACAATACAACGAAACGTTAGCCAATAAATTTTATATTTTTGTTATGTCTTAATTGTCTGAAAGTCATTTGCTGGGCTTTATCATATACGTTGCATTATCGTTGCATCGATTCGACATAATTATTTGCATAATTATGACGTATCAGTATATATTATAAAAAAATTATCATACTGGACGAAGAAATGTTTTAGCATTCGACTTCGACGATTTGTTTGTCGACTTCGACGAATTTCAACTTCCACTTCGACGAATTTCAACTTCCACTTCGACGAATTTCAACTCGACTTCGACGAATTTCGACTCGACTTCGACGAATTTCAACTCGACATCGACGAATTTGTACTCGACTTTGACGATTTTGTACTCGACTTTGACGATTTTTTCTCAACTTCGACGAATTTGGATTGAAACTGATATTTGGACATATGGAAATGATATTTGCGTAATGGAAATGATATGTACATGTTCGTAATTTTGTCCCCTTCGGGCAAGCATATATTTTTTAAGAAAAGCTGAATATATGTGGAACATTTGAATCAAAACTTGTAGCACTGGCAAGTGTTTTTCGATGTTTACATTTCTTTTTTTCGCAGTTTGGTCGGAGAAAAGTACATTTCGGGCTTGGCACTATGAGTCCATTGAAGCCAATTCACTGTATTTTACTGTCTTTAGTTTCGATAGAGTGAATTTTTAAACTTTTTGGGTAGTGTTTTGAGTTTGAAAATTGTCTTTACTCCTCGGTTTTTCGCGAAAAAATAACTCTTTTGCACCACGGTCAAGATATCGTAAAAAGCTGCCTGCTGCTGCAGCCAATCAGATTGCAGGAAATCAAAAAATATCACTAGGCATGCACAAATAAAAAAATAAAATAACTTATTTTGAAGATATTCATTTGCTCCCTTTGTTTGAGATATTTCAGTTTGTTTGGTATGCAAATACCCGGAATTTACGTCACAATTGCATAATAACTTAAAGTAAAAGCTTGGATATCGTATCAAGTTTAATTTATTAAAATGTTTGCAGTTTTTGGAGAATTACATAACTATGCAAAACACCATTTACCCTTTTTATTTCATGAAATAACTCAGAGACAAAGTGTGCAAACGAAAACATAAAAATAAGTTACCAGATCATTTCAAAGGTTCTTAGGAATGAGATGTTCGAAGAATTGAGGTTAGATGCACTTTAAATAAACCTATACATTAGTCTTCATCTCTATCGTCTGTATCGTAATAGCTATCACTGCCTTCCTCTTCACTACCTTCGTCAGTTAACAAGTTTCCTTCATCAGCCTCGCATGGTATCTTGTGGTAATCTAAAGCATCACGACCTGCATAACGTAAAACCAGCTGAACCAGGACAAACAGCGAGAACACGGCCGCAGTAGCCAATGAGAATGCACGGAATGTGATATCACCGCCCACGTGATGAACCATAAACCCGCCAACGATAGCACCGGTACCAGTTCCCAGGCCCCAATAGACGCCTTGAAGAATTCCTAAATGGATGTGATTTCAGTCAAATGGGATAATTAATTTTTTTTCCATGCGAAGCTTCGCTTTATCTCGTCTGACTTGAAGATGATTCTATTAATTTTTGTTATACCGACGAGCAAATTTTCTATGAGAAGTTTTCATACGGCAAGTTTTATACTTGTCAATTGAACGTGTGTATGAACAACAAATATTCTATGACAAGTTTGATAGGGAATTTGATTCCAGAAAAAGAGTGTGGATTTAGACAAAAGGCATTGGGGGGAATTTACACTTTCTTCTTATATATCATATATATATATATCATATATATATATATATATATATATATATATATATATATATATATATATATATATATATATATATATATATATATATATATATATATCTTATCTTTGCAGTTATATATCCTTATAGTTCCGCTGTCGCTAGCTCCCTCCTGTTAAATGCTGTTGTACGTTAACTGACCTTTGATATTGTACGGAAATTTTTCAATTTTTGTCGCTGATTTGGCTGAACACTGAAAACTCCGAGAACTGTTAGACCGTACATATTGATTTGCAAGTCAACTAGTGAAGGAAACATATTAAGCCTTGTACTTGGTATGCCTCTTACTTAAGCGGCGAACAAGTAGTGATTTTAACTTGGCAAGATCTGTTTGACAAGCAAAGGACCGCGGAGCGATTGTATGATTTGGCGGGGACGCGGAGACTTGTCTTCATATGAAAAAAAGCCACGAACTCTCTGGGGGTATTGGGCATGCCTTCCCCTCCCCGGTTCCGAAAATATTGAAACCTAATTAAAAGCCTGGAAAGTGAAATTTCAGCCATTTCCTACAAAATGTTTTTTAATTAAAATGATCACGTCCATCGCCTTACGATACAGGCTGATATACGGTACAGTACGGAGTATATAAGTCTACCAAGGTTTCGTTGTTGGGGATGCAACTACATGAAAAAAATATATATATATATATATATATATATATATATATATATATATATATATATATATATATATATATATATATATATATATATATATATATATATATATATATATATATATATATATATATATATATATATATAAGGAGAATTTCGAGAATTTCAACCGAAATTCGACGTATAAAACAGGCCAGAACCTTATTAAGCAAGCAGGACGGAAATTCATAATATATATATAATAAGAAAGAAACGAATAATTAAAATCTCATGGGATTAAAATCATAGATTATAATCTATGTTTACATACAATTGCAAATCACAGATTATACCACGTCTTGTATTCAACGCCTACATTTCAAGGTGGTACAAAACTGTTACTTCAAATTGGCTCCTAGAATTCATACCGACCATTTATAGATA